GAGAAGGTTTTTTTTGGGGGGGAATGGGGGGGATCCACCATCTTCCTAGTTCTTTCTTCTCCCTTTAGTTTGGCTTTTTCATGCTGTTGCAACAACAAAAGATGAAGGAATTTGTTTTCCATCTCAAATGATTCTTGCTCCGTTGAAGAGATTCAGCTGGAGAAACGGGAAACTCCCCCGAGTTTCCTCACTCTAGAGAACTACACAACTGATCTCCAGAGAACCATGTGATAGCTCAGTGGACTGTCACTATTTCCCACATGAGCCATTTGACTTAGAGGTAGCTCATGATTTGGGAAGGTGACAGGATCAATCCCCTAGGCCAGTGATGGCGAACCTATGACATGCGTGTCAGAGGTGACACACGAACTCATTTTTTTGGTTGATTTTTCTTTGTTAAATGGCATTTAAATATATAAAATAAATACCAAAAATATAAATCTTTGTTTTACTATGGTTGCATATATCAAAAAATTTGTTTATGTGACATGGCACCAGAGTTAAGTTAGGGTTTTTCAAAATGCTGACATGCTGAGCTCAAAAGGTTCGCCATCACTGCCCTAGGCCTTCAAGCTTCTCTGTCCCTTGAAGTGACTCCAGCAGCACCTGAGAAAGAGCTTGGTTTTCTCTCCTGCCCCTCACTACCCTAGCCAAGCATATTCGGAATAACCATTCAGAAACAGGATTATCCTCACATGTGGACGTTTGACAGACATGGTTTACCTCTTCTTCTGGCTCTCCTTTCATTGTTTCTCATTCTAGGACAGACACAGCAACCATTTATCCCAAGCTGAAGATCAGGGCACTTCTGCTGACAACGGATCTTTTAGAATTTATAATGCACTTTTTTGAAGTATTACTTGAATGTGTTTTATGTATTTAAATGATTTAGACACTAGACCATCCCTTAATACATGTACATAATTTTTACATGAATTTAGCAAGTTTATAAGAAAGAGTAACAGTCTCTTGCTTCATCTTTTCTTAGGCCAAGTCCATTATCTTTGAATCTTTTGATAATGTCCTCCCTCTATTTCCTCTTTCTCTCTTTCTGGAACTGCTGCTGATTGAATGTTCAAATTTCACAAAATATTCACTAATTTTCCTGCTTTATTTTTATTTTACATCTTAGTATTTTTGTCAAATTTTGAGAGTTTTCTCAAATTTATCTTTCAATCCTCACATTGAGTCTCTCTTTCTCCTATTTCATTTTCAAAGCTCATCCTCCTTCTCTGAATGTTCCTTTTGAGAATACACCGTACCTATCTCATAGATGCAACATCTTCTCTTATCTCTTTGAGCACATTATTGTTTTAAACCTTTTCTCCCTGCATTGTTTCTACTCCAAGTTTCTTTTTTCTGGGTGTGTCCGTCACTCTTTTTCAGGTTAGAAGTTTACTTAAATGTCTGGTAATCCTTAATTGTCAATTTATGTTTTCCTATTTTATCTCCTATTTTATTTGCCAAACTGCTATATATGAGTTCCCTTGGCTCTATTTCAAGAATGAGCAAAAGTTTTATGGAATGCATTATATAGTAAATATTTTAGGGCTATGGATCTCTGGTGCAACTACTCAACTCTACTATTGTAGTGGGAAAGTAGCCATAGGTTATATGTTAACAAATGAGTAAAGCTGTGTTCTAATAAAACTTTATTTGCAAAATAGGTAATAGGCAGAATTTGCTCATGTGCCATAGCTTTCCAACTCTTTCTCTATATCAATGTTGATAGTTTATATTTTTATACTTTTCAATAGCAAATATTTATTTTGGCAAAAAAACAAAAACAGAAAAAGAGAGATAAAGCAAACATGACAAAATGTTAACAAATAGTTAATTCTAGGTGATTCCAATGCTACATGTCCATATACTCTCTTTCATTATTTCTCTAGGTTTGAAATTTTTCATAATAAAAAGGTAGGGAGGAAAACACTGATGAAAAGTCTAACTACATTCTGCCCTGACATATTAAAATAGCCTCATGGTAAATAGTGGCAACATTATGTAAAAGCCAAAGCTAAAGTCCTTACTTAGGATCTTTAAAAAATGTATTAATGTTCAACATTTTCAAATAATTAAGAAAAAGTGGGATTTGAAACATTATTTACTATATTTCCAGTAACAAGAATCAATATCAGGATTCTTTTGTTATATCAAACTATTCTATGCTTAGAAAAACTGTATTAAAAAATTTAGGGACTTCTTTCATATGTTACAAATAAGTAAAACGTTGAATATTTTAACACATTTTACATCAAGTGTAAGAACCTCAGATGTGTTATTAACTTTGCTATTCTTAACTAGATAACCAGTCTCCCCCAATATTCTATTGATGATATTAGATGATTTCAAGAAAAGATTTGTAAAAGGAAAGTTTTACATCTGTAGTGTTTGTTATTAATTATCTCACATGTCAACAATCTTACCAGTAACCCTCACCAGCTCAGAACACAAAAAACAGTCTATTTTTCTCACCTGTTAAACATATTACTTTTAAGAAACTTACATTCCAGAACAGCTGTGAAAATAGTGAAATATTTAAATTAAAGATAGAAAACATTTCTTTTAGAAACATTTTCCTGAAAATCTAATAACATCAACCGAACACTGGTGGAGATTGATTGTGTAGAGTAAAATAATTAATAACACATCTGAAATTCTAGTATACTTGATGTAAAGTGCATTAAAATATTTGACATTTTACTTATTTGTAACATATGGAAGGAGTCTGTAAAATTTTAAACAAAAATTTTCTAAGCATAGACTAAACAAATTTAGTGTTATGTGATATAAGAATTCTGATATTGATTCTTACTCCTGAAAATGCAGTAATAATGTTTCAACTCCTTTGTTCACTTGTCCTAACATATATTAAACCATAGTGGGAAACTATGATAGTTGCAAAAAGGTCACCGTGCCTTGGAACTGGATCAAGAGAAACAGCATATAACATAGAGAGTTTAAATCATGCAATTTAATATTGCAAGTGTCATAAATCAGTGGAAATGATCAATATATTGAGTATTTTATATTTCTTTATAATTTACAAATTAAGGAACAGAGTGGAAAAGTTAATTTGCCTAAGGACTTATGACTATTATAAGACATAAACGAGAATCACATATACTTTTTCTAAATCAAAACCCATGTACTCATCCACTATATCATTCTGTCTTACTATGAACAAAGATACATGTGTTTGGTTTGGTGAAAGTGGCAAAAAGCTAGATGAAGGTTAGTCAAGTCAAATGGCAGGTGATATTACAAGATCACTAAGAGAAAAAAGTCATAATAAGTGAGGAATAAATTTGGTATAAGGGACTACAGTGACTAACAGACTTTATATATGGTATGAAATGTTCCTGTAAACCACCTAGCCAGCCCCCAAGGGCACCTATAGGTCCTCAGCAGGAAAGGGCTATCTGGTAACATTTGAAGTTTTATTTCATTAAGGAATCAAGGGGTGCTTTTTCTCCATAAAATAACTGCACCCAAGAACAATAAGATGTTTCCCACCTGGTGAACCAACGTGAGCCTCAGAAATGGTGGAACAGAGCTCAGGGAGGAGACAACAAAGACAGCAAATCCCTGCAGTGTCAGAAATCACAGTGTCCTCCAAATTCCACTTTCTCGTGTCATAGTAGTGTTGTAATTGGGCACACTAGCTAAACCACATTCACAGGCCTCTCTTGAAGTTGGGTGTGGCCCTGTAACTAACTTCTAATCAATAATTTAAGAAATTGGTATAACTGCTTCACACTCTCCTTTCCCCCTGATGAAGACAAGGCTCTGGAAATTGGTACAGCTCCCACATATAAGGAACCTGGGTTCCTGAATCACCGAGTGGAGGAGAGACACCCACTAATGACGACCGTAGACTGCTGCATGCGGAAGAAATAAAATGCTATTGTGTTTGAGCCATTAAACTATTTTGGGTCTATTTTTCAATATGGGTAAGCCCAATCTAAGACAATTGGTCTATGCATCATTCAGACATAAGCACCATTCTTCTACATTTGAGGAAACAGCAAAGTTTGGCTGTTGGAAATAATATGTACACAGTAGTTCAGAGTAGGTGACATAACAATTGGTGATGAGAGTGGCAGCAGATATTGGCGAGAGAGACATGATGAACAGAAACTAGAAGAGGAGAAACATAGATGCTTAGAGAGCTGCTGCTTAGGAAGTCACAGAGAGCTATACCAAAGGGACAAGGTTCAGAGCAGGTCATTTGACTGAGAGCTACTGACCCTTTACAGTTGGGAACAAACTTTGAAGCACAATTATCCACCTTCTTCAGACTGTTGGTGCCTTAAAAATATTCAGGTTATATGTGTTTGTGTGGATAGGAACATGCTATACACGGATACATGCATATATGTAGTCAGAATGTATATACTCCAACCTGTGAAAATATTAACACTGAAGGATTTTAGGTAGATTTTCTGTTTTTCCTGTTGAATCATTTAAACTGTTTAAAAGAAGCATACCATACATACAGAGTGAAACATTTTTTTTTCATTTCGAGGAAGAAAAATTCTATTAATTGTATATTTTCACGAAAAAATTTAAGTGGCTATCTATAAATAAATATGTAATAAGGATGAGATACAAAGTTTTGTCCAATTCCTACTGTGAAATCTTTCAAGAAATGAATATTTACACACCACAGAGAATATGACCACATGTTTGCCAGTTCTCCTGTTACACAATAAGCTCCTTTGAAGGCTGGCTCTGTATTGTGTTCCTGATTATCACTGGCACTTGGCACGCAGGAGGCACTGAGGACTGTTAAGTGAATGAATTTATGAATACATGAGTATTCTAGTAGCTTTTAACGTGTAAATTCAATGGTAATTGTTACATTATTTCAGCTCTGGAATCCCTATTCCCTGTTATTTCAGTTTTGCTAAGTATATGACAAAGTAATTGATCACACCTAAGACACCTAAACAGTGTTCCTTCTCTTTTCTTTCTTTCTTTCACTTTACATGTCACAGCTCCATTCAACCCAAATCAAGGTGCAGATAGCATTGTCAAGTTTGATGCTTTTGGAGATGGAATGGGACGGTACAACGTGTTCAATTTTCAGTACGTGGGTGACAAGTATTCCTACTTGAAGGTTGGTCACTGGGCAGAATCCTTATCACTGGATGTCGACTCTATCCATTGGTCCCAGAACTCAGTCCCCACTTCCCAGTGCAGTGACCCCTGTGCCCCCAATGAAATGAAGAATATGCAACCAGGGGATGTCTGCTGCTGGATCTGCATCCCCTGCGAGCCCTACGAATACCTGGCTGATGAGTTTACCTGTACGGATTGCGGCCTTGGGCAGTGGCCCACTGCAGACCTATCTGGCTGCTTTGACCTTCCTGAGGACTACATCAGGTGGAAAGATGCCTGGGCCATTGGTCCAGTCACCATCGCCTGCCTGGGTTTTGCGTGCACATGCATGGTTGTGACTGTTTTTATCAAGCACAACAACACACCCTTGGTCAAAGCATCAGGCCGAGAGCTCTGCTACATCTTGTTGTTTGGAGTTGGTCTATCCTATTGCATGACATTCTTCTACATTGCCAAGCCGTCCCCAGTTATCTGTGCATTGCGCCGCCTGGGACTTGGGACCTCCTTCGCTATCTGCTACTCAGCCCTGCTGACCAAAACAAACTGCATCGCCCGCATCTTCGATGGGGTAAAGAATGGCGCTCAGAGGCCAAAGTTCATCAGCCCAAGTTCTCAGGTTTTCATCTGCCTGGGTCTGATCCTGGTGCAAATTGTGGTGGTGTCTGTGTGGCTCATCCTGGAGGCTCCGGGCACCAGGCGGTACACCCTTCCAGAGAAGCGGGAAACAGTCATCTTGAAGTGCAATGTCAGAGATTCCAGCATGTTGATCTCACTTACCTACGACGTGGTCCTGGTGATCTTATGCACTGTGTACGCCTTCAAAACCCGGAAGTGCCCAGAAAATTTCAATGAAGCCAAGTTCATTGGTTTTACCATGTACACCACCTGTATCATCTGGCTGGCCTTCCTCCCTATATTTTATGTGACATCAAGTGACTACAGAGTAAGTCTTTCAGTGGTTTCTTCTTTTCCTTCTTCTTTTATCCTGCCAATGCTTTGCTATGTAAGATTTAAAATAGACTCCATTTATTTCATCTCAGCAATTAGGTAGGTAATTACAAATGCCATGATGAACCGCCATATTATACATGGAAATCAATTCACTATGTTTTAAAAGTGTTTCATCAGTGCCTACTATGTGCAAAGCATAGGGCTAGGCACAGAGAGGAAGATAAATATAAATCATGGTCACTCAAGCAATTTATAAACAAGTGGGAGAAAATGTACTACACAGTCACACATACCTCTAAAACTTTTAATTAAATTTCAAAAGTGAATGATAAGCAAATAAAACTTAAACCACTAAAAGCCTAATGAGAGTACTTCAAATTAGACACAGGAGGACCTGGCTACCACAGAGCGATATATATACATATCCAAGTAACCTAATTAAGTCATTATTCATATGGTCTTCAGTAATATATAGTTCAAATTTCTGGGCTTCTATATCATCATCTCTTCTGAAAGAAATAGTTCATCATTCCACCATAATTTCTCAAACTGTTGAAACCATCCATCAGTAGCTTTTGCATTTATAATTCTGATTTTAATATCTTCCAATGAGTGAATATATAAATCTTTTTCTCTTGAGGCAATTGGATTTCATTCTCTATATTTCTTAAATTGTCACAGATGAAAGTTTTCCAGAGGCATAATGGTTCCCTTGTTATGCCATGATTTCACAAAATGAAGTGCCTCTGTAGGCTGTAATAGTCCCCAAATCTTCTGTTCATCAGCAATTCCTACATTATCAAAATCTTGGATATTGCAGCTCAATAAAAGACAGAGCTATTTAAAGGATGGGATCAAGAGACTGGCAATACTTGTGGTACCTAGTCCATTTAATTATTCATAGCCGTGTGACTAAAACCTATGGACTACATTCAAGAAAGAACAAGAGAATAAAGACCACATATTCAATGCTGGGTTAATGGTCAGGGCTTCTAAGACTACCTGTTTAAAAAATTAGAAAATCTGTCCAAAAGGAAAACATCAGAATTGAAAAAGCAAAATTAAAGGTCATATTATGTGAACCACAGAGCAGTTTGAAGCTTTAGAGTGTGGGGATTTAAATAGAGAATCATAGTTAATATATTTTAATGCCCCATTTTTTTTATCTTCATGTACACATTCACTCCTCTAGTTCTGTAAGGATTTTTATTTTGAGTTCTTAGGAAACTATCCTTAGCATATGTGATTTTGGGAATTAGGACTATAATATACTTACAATGTTAATTATTTTATCCTGGATATATGAAACTTTATTCTCAAAATCTAATTAAAAACAGAGTAGAAAACACTATTAAAAATAAACAAATAGCATTATAAAAATTTAATTTTATTGAGTGAATTAGCATTTATTTCTAAAACACACAAAAATATGAATTTTCCCCTTTACCATAATAGCAATGTATATCAACTGACTCAACAGAATTAGCTGAAGATACCAGAAGTTTCACCACATGGCAGAAGTCCTTAGGCAAATGGGGCAAAAGTTGTTGGGTTGAGAGTGTTTTAAGGTCCTAATTAACGCATCCAATCAGAGTGAGATCATCTTAGACCTCAGGTACTCCTTGCAAATAATGCCAATCCTAAATTTACAGAAGAAATCGAAGGTAGATTAGAGGCTCCAACACATTGGCTTTCAAATTAGACTGCACATTGAATTGATTGGGTAGCTTTGGGAAAAAAATATTGCTACCTGGGATACAGCCCCCGAGATTCTGGTTTAGTTGGCCTAATCTGTGACCCAGACATCAGAATCTTTCAAAGCTCCCCAAGTGACTCTCATTGCAAGACTAAAAAACACTACTCTAATGAATCACATGTTCTTCTTCTTTAAAATATATTTTTTTATTGATTTCAGAGAGGAAGGGAGAGGGAGAGAGAGATAGAAACATCAATGATGAGAGAGAATCATTGATCAGCTGCCTCCTGCAGAACCAGGGACCCTTCAGTCCGCAAACTGGCACTCTAACCACTGAGCTAAACCGGCTAGGGCACATGTTCTTATTGCACAGATAGCTTTAGTTTGGCCTGCACTCTTTTGAAATAATTTGAAATATTTTTCAAAGTTAGAACATTGAGAAATTTTATGTAAATATCCACAATCCTGGCTTCTCCTATCAAAGTAAAACATTGGACTCAAATTCCTACATGCAACAGTTAGCCGGAATGGAGTGGTGCCTATGCCTCTAGACAGGACACTCTCATTCCTGTTGCCCTCACTCCCACCAATCCCTCAATTCTTATTCCCAGCTCTCTTCCCTTATGAATCTGCATGGACCCTATAAGCATCAGAACTTGGGACCCTTGTTCTAGGAATTGCAGAACAAGACTGAGATTTAAAATTTCCCAGAGGGGGGTTTCAGCATGGCTAAAGGCATGGTTTACACCTGAAGATTTGGATTCAGCAATTTCTTTGTAAAATTGGTGGTTATAAGAATTAAATGTACTAATACATTTAAAATGCTTAGCATCTGACACAGTAAATTTTAGCTACTATATATTTGGTGCTAATTTTACACTTCATTCTGTAGAAAGCAGGCAACCCATCTTGTATCATTCTCAAGAGAAAAATCGGTAATCTATGTATCTTGAGTAAATTGTTTAAAAAAAAAAAATTTCCCAGAGGGAAACCATGTGGCTCAGATAGAATCAGCAGCATTAGAAAAGTACCTAATAATTTAAAGGCAGCTATAATGAATTTGGACATCAAACAGTCTGCAGGGTTTATGACTCAGTACTTTGCCACCCATTGTGAGTTATAAATAAATATAAACCATGATTCCAATCTTCAAAAATCTCATATCCCAGCTGAGGAAAAAAATAACTAGCATGAAAGAATTCAGGATTAACACAGAAGAGTTTATAATTAAATTGGTGATATAATCTCTTAAATGTCTATGAGTTTCAAAAAAAAAAGTTAGATCAGTAAGAGCTTGGTCTTTCCTGGAATATTCCTTGAAGAGGTGGGATTTCACCCTGTACCTTGGTGAGCAAGTGCAATTATGGTAGTTGGAGAATATAGGGAATATTTTTGAGGCGACACAGAAATGAACCAAGCAGGACACAGCAATATTGGTCATACTCAAGTGGAATATGGCTTAGGGGTGGGGTCTAGTGAGAAACTAATGGAAATTAGCAACTTGGTCAGATTATACCAGGCAGAGGAATTCATTTAAATAGTGTTTAAGGGCTTTGAGTTCTCACAATTTTTTAAATTTTCTTGTTTTCTTTTGGTTGGGTTGTTTGCTCAGGCAAAAGGTGACATGGTGTAAAAAGTAAGAGGAATGAACCTTTCCTGATGGACTCAGAGAGCTCACTCTGTGAGATGCTTTGCATACATGAGCCTACGATCCTCATTAGCACCCTGGAAAGCAAGTGTTATTATCCACGGAAAAGATTAATAAACAGACTCAGAGGATAATTAATTTCCCAGGTGGCGCAGTTAGGAAATAGTAGAACATGTTTTTCAGACCCAAATGCATGCCTTCCACATTATACCACAAGCTTGTCAATCCTTAATAGGGAGGCTGGATTTGAAAGAGCAGAGCCTAGAACAACCAAAACTAATTGAAGGTATTACAGGCATCCAAAACAAAGCAAGTAAAAAGTTGGGTAAAAATATGAAAATTCAAAGGATCTTTGAGAAATATCCAGGCCATCTCCTTCTCCTTCTGTACTACAATAAAACCATTCCAGAGAGTGTGAGAATCAAACTGAGCCATCAAGAATCCAATACATAGTATAAATGGTGTAAATAAAAACGAGGCCATGTTTAGGTGGAAAGTTTACCCATAAAGGAATTCATTAATGGTGACTACTGAGTGTTTTGTTCACTTATGTCTTCCAAATATATTTGAGCACTTATTATGGGCCTTGGAGATACAAGCTATCAACATAGGCAAGTCCCTCCTCTTTTTAACTTATAGTCTAGGGGAGGAAGAGAGAGTAAAGAATGAATGAATGAAAGTGCAGGATAACTCATGCAGGGGTAAGTGTTATGATGGAAAGAAGAGGAGCTATGCTACCTCAGAGTTTCTCCAACTTAATGTACATTTAACTCACCTGGGGATCTTGAACAAATAAGAAGGGATGGGGCCCAAGAGTCTGAATTTCTAGCAAGCTCCCAGGTGATGGAGATGCTGCTAGATGAGGGGCCATCCTTTGAGTATCCAGACGTTGCATTGTTATTTGGGTTGGGACCACTGAAGCACTTTACCTACAGTTGGTAGAGTCTTCAGAGGTGGTTCCAGAATTTTGACAAGGTTCAAATACTTACAGAGAAATTCTGATTTTCCCATGTTGACTATTTTGAAGATTTAAAAACATATATATTGAATCTCAAATTCTTTTAAAAAATATTTGCCACCCCTACTAGTGCCTATTTCATAATACTCCACTGGAGGATGGGAAAGAGCCAGGCATGGGAATTCTATGTGCTAGACAGAAGAAATAGCAAGTACAAACACTTCTAGGCAAAAATGTCTTAAAAGAGAAAAGTATGTATGGCCCCACTTTAAAAGCAAATAGAAGAGTGATTTTATGAGGTGTAGGCAGGGGAGCTAGATCATGTTGGACTTCATAGGCTATCACAAAAAGCACAGATTTTATTCTATATGAAAAAAGAAACCATTGAAATATTTTAAGAAGAATAGTTTAATATCTCACATTTTAGGGGGAAAAATCAAGTTTCTAAAGACATTGGATATGACAGAAATCAAAGGCAGGAGTGGGGAGACTGGTTAAGTGGCTGTGGTAGGTGCTCCAGTCAGAGTTGATGGTAGGATGTTAACAATGGAGAGAGAACCTGCCAAGAATGGTGAAGGGTTTCTACCCATCTTGCCATCTAACTAGCTAGCCTGCCACAGTTTCAGGGATGCTGGGACAAAACTGGTAACTCCTGATTCACAAAGGACTTTATTACTCACAGCCATCACT